TCAGTGAGTCTCGCCATTCGTAGCACCATAGTACAACTCGTCAAAGAGACAAGTGAAGCCCATCCTTTGATAACGACAGTATGGATTGTGAAGGGTTTTCATGAATGCCGCACTACATTAAAAATAAGCACGGTAAAAATTGTGACAGGGATGATAGGAGGATATAGGAAATTCGAATAGCCCAGGGCAGAAGGGGAGATACCACAACTGTTTAGCACACGTTTGGTCAAAAGATGGGGTTCACTTGTCTCTTTGAAGAGTTGTTGTGTGGTGCTAAGAATGGCGATACTCACTGACGATGCCGATTACCGGTCGGCGAAACGTCTGGGAATGTACCACGTCCACGGTCCTACTCTGGAAATGATGATGCATACAATGGACTCTGGACTAGGTACGTTCCTCTAGTTATTCCTACCAATATGACCGAGTTGCAAAAAATACGGTCAAACAACTTCCCCACTTCATATTGTCCATCCACTTATTCACACAATTCTGTGCTCTCGTTTCCTCCAATGTCGCCTAAGAGTGTGTCGCTACAAGCGGGTTCTTGTGAAGTGTAATAATATTCGCCACCGTTTTAAAATACTACTTGCAGGGCTTCTGAATTTCATCAGCCCCCCTTTTCACCCCACTTGTCAATTGGTCCCTGCTACACATCAAAACCACTCTCTGTCTGTCTGTCTGAAATCTAGCTGCCTACGAGCCTTCAATGAACATGTAATGTTCATGCCTAGTCCTAGGCATCTTCCTCTCTTTAGGCTTCAGAACCATCATCTAATTGCTTACCTTCCTATCCCCACCCACACTGTATCTTATGCTTTGGGGCACTATGTCCGGCTTAATTAGGAAACAATTATGTGAAAATACACCACTTCCCTTTTTAAACCTGAATCGCGAAAGGCACATTCTCGTAATTCAAGTTGACACTCCAACCTATGACAATGTTCATGTGCTTGCTGGCTGATATCTCCCGTCGTCAAGACTGTCATTTGTCACCTCCCCTGCCGATACAGATACGAAGAATACACACGACACAAACGTATTCACATTGGTAACCTCTATCTAGTCCACCTATGCCTTTAGCCCTTAATTTCATATTCTACATTTCACAGGTGAACCACTTGGGTAACTTTTTTGTCCATTACACGTCCTACTATTCTCACT